TTCATCCTGACTCCAAGTCCAAAAGGAGGAGGAGGAGGCGGAGGAGGAGGAACCTGCGGGCGTGCGGGCGTGCAGAGGGTCTGGTCGAGGCGCAGGGCCCGGGACATCGCTCAACCTGTCCGTAGGTCTCCTGAGCCCCCCTCTCAAAAAAATGGAAGCCCATGGTCTCCTCGACGCCCTGGTTGACGGACTGGGGCCCCCCAAACGGGGTGGTGACCTCCCCGTGTCGTGAGCTGGTGGGGGCGCGGATGAGCGGCGGGTCCCGTTCCCGCGGGAAGTCGCGGCCTCCCGCCGCCGCGCGAGGCGGCGCCGGCCGCATGTTCGGGAGGGCACCTCCCCCGATCCATGGATTTGGCGACCGCGCGCCAAATCTTCAAGGGGCCCTGGGACACACAAATACATACACACAAATAAAAAGATTCCCCATATTTTCATATTTTCTGGGTTTTTGTCTTCCCGCTCAATTCCCATATTTTCCAATATTTTCCGGGGAATCGACGATTAATTGTGTCTGTGTGTTTTTTCCCTCCTGAAATCTATGGGTCGCTGATCCATGTCTGCGCGCCCCCGAGATTCGGGGTCACCGCACGGTGTTGGGACTCGGGTCGTTCTCCGAGGACGTCTCCGGCGGCTGGGGCCTCCAGGGTCCCAAGACGGTGCGGTGGCGGACCGCGCGGTGAGGTTTTGGGCGATTTCGAGGTTACCGCACGGTCTGTCACCGCACCGGTTCGGGACTCCAAAGATCGAGACGGCGGATCTCTGGGCGCGGCGGCGGCGCTGGCGGCCCAGGTTGACCCAGAAGGGGGTCCAGCGAGAAGGGGGTGGTGCAATGGATCTGGTGCAATAGATTTGTGGGGGGTTGCAAGAGATTTGGGGCGTGCAGTACATTCCGGGGCGCAGATGTATTATTGGATTTTTGTATGCAATACATTATTTGCAATGCAATGCAGGACAATTCTCTGGCGCAGTACATGTGCAGTGCGATTGCCCAAAATCTGCTGCACCACCCGCTTTCAGCTGGACCCCCTTTTGGGTCGACCAAGGGAGATCGAGAAGGCGGATCTCTGGGCGCGGCAGCGGCGCTGGCGGCGTCAGCGTCGGCAGCAGCAGGCCCAGACCCCATCGCGAGGTGACACAAATCACGACGGGAGGCTTTTCGTTATATCCGAATGTGGGGATGTCTCGCGCAGTTTGGCAGCTTCGTTGTCTAGACTGCTTCCTTTGACAGCCCTATGATCTCCGCGCTACAGCGGGTGCAGCCTTGGGACATCCCAAGGCGGAGCCGCCGTGGTGGTTTGATTTCCCAGCTCGCGCCCAGATAGAATGTGGGGATGTCTCAAGCGGTATGCCCGTTTGGTTGTTCAGACTGTTTTTTTTTGAAAGCCACATGGTCACCGCGCTAAATGTGGCGTACCATTCGGGCACTCCAAGGAAGGGCCGCCATGGGGTATCTCACTGGCCCGTTAGCGCTCATATTGTGGGGATGTTTCGCGCTCGCGCCCAGATTGCGAGGATGTCTCGGGCGGTTCGCCCGTTCTCTGAGGCATGTTGGCACCCCAGGGAGGAGCTGCTACGGGCGGGGACACTTACCCGTTCGCGCCCAGACCGTTGGGATGTCTCAAGCGAGGCGCTGGTTTGGCGTTCCTGGCTCCTCTGCAGTGAGAGCCCCGTGGTCGCCGCGATGCAGCAGGCGTGGCATTGGGGCACTGCGTGGTGCCTCCAGAGGCAGGAACCCCCATGAAGACCCGGGAGGCCGACGAAAGCACCAAGAATCGCTGGGAGACACCACGATGCTCCGGGTTTTCTTCCAGGCGGCTTCAGGAGATCCACGAGGCTCCGATCCAACCTGGGAACCACCCGAATCGGCCGAAGGAGACTCGCACGCATTCAACCGCTCAGATTCAGTTCAGTCGTACTCAGTTTCATGCACGCAGACCGCTCACACACTGATCATTCAGACTCGGATTCGTTCACATTTAGACAAACTCATGCTCATCTCACTCGTATTCAGACCACACATTCAACATCCACTGACACACAGTCTCCCTCATACTCAGACTCAGGCGCTCTCACACTCAGACTCACCACGCTCAGGCCACTGACGTTCAGATGCATGCAAGGCGTAGCACTTGGGCACCCCAAGGGGGAGCGGCCAAGGGGTGCTCGCGGCCAGATTGTGGGGACGTTGAAAGCGAAACGCTAGTTTCGGTACCCTCGGCTCCTTTCCCTTCAGAGCCCTATGGTCACTACAGTCGGGGCCCTGAAGAAGGAACCCTTTTCGTTGGTGAGGGGCTCCGCGCTCCTTGAGTGTTTCACAGCTTGCCTCAGACTTTCCTTATGTTTTCGACAGGAAATCGAAGGTTAACTTTATCGTTCCTTAGGTCAACGCCCCGACTGTACCCTCGGCGCCTTTCCCTTCAGAGCCCCATGGTCACTACAGGCAGACCGCATGGGCACCTCAGGGGGAAGCCGCCAGGGAGCGCCCAGTCGCCACAGGGTAGGTCCCTCTCACCCAGACACCCCTAGCGGGACGTACCAGTAAATGAGATGCATCCACTGGTGCGCATTCTTCCGTCTCCTTGTCGTTCTCGCGTCTTCTGGCGTTGCCCCTCCCTCTGCCTCCTCCCTCCTCACTTCTTTGCGCGCTTACTCCTGGGTCGTGCTTATGCACGCGTTGTCCTCCTCCTCCTCCTCCTCCTCCTCCTCCTCTTCCTCCTCCTCCTCCTCCTCCTCCTCCTTTTTCTTTCCTCCTGATCCCTTGCTCCGGCTCATTTTTTCTTCTCCTCCTCTTCTCATCCTCCCCTTCCTCCTCCTCCTCCTCCTCCTCCTCCTCCTCCTCCTACTCCTACTCCTCCTCCTCCTCCTCCTCCTCCTTTTTTCTCCTCCTCCTTTTCTCTCCTCCTTTTTCTCCTCCTCCTTTTTCGTGCGCCGACTCATTCGAATGGGCCACCTGGCGGGCAGCGAAGAGAACTCTCGGGGATCGACGCTCTGTCCCATGCCCTCTGAGCTGCCCCCAGCCTCTGGGCGCCAAGGGGGTGAGGCATGGTTACCTCTTTTCGATGCGGAGGTCCCCAGAGGTGCATCTATTTGCCCACGCATTTCCCGCTGAGAGTGTCCCCGTGTGAGAGAGTCTAAACGTGAACGGGTCCGAGTATGATACTCTGGGAGCATTCGAGTTTGAGCGTGAACGAGTCAGAACATATGTTTGTCTGAGCGTGGGTGAACCTCTGCGCATGAGTGTATGTGAATGTCAGTAGTCTGAGTGTGGGTGTGAGCGTGCGAGGTCTGAGTGTATTTGAGTGTGAGTGGTCTGAGTGTGAGTGTGAGTGTGAGTGTGAGTGTGAGTGTGAGAGGTCTAGCAGTATCTGAGTGTGAGTGTGAGCGTGAGAGGCCCGAATGGTCTCACCGTGAGCGTGAGCGTGAGTGTGAGCTGGGGCTACGTCTCATCGTTACCAAGACAGGCAGCGCGCCTGACATCTCTTCACGCTCTCGGCCTCTTGAGGTGCTGGAGCCAGCGACCCCCCGCTTGAGATATCCTCGCAGTCTGCTCCGAGCGCGGGCGAGGCTGGGGTCCGAAAGCAGGCAGGCCGCCTCTGCGACAGCCCCGCAGTCTGTGGCGCGACCCGGCCCGCGGTGTGCCCCTGGCGGCTCCTCCTTAGTTCTGAAAGCAGAGGACGTTGCACGTGCGAGCATGCAAACCGCATCCTGGAGTGTCCTCCTCCTCCTCCTCCTCCTCCTCCTCCTCCTCCTCCTATTCCTCCTCCTCCTCCTTTTCCTCCTCCATATCCTCCATATCCTCCATATCCTCCTCCTCCTCCTCCTCCTCCTCCTCCTTCTCCTCTGAGTTCCCCTCCGTCGCTCGTGGGAGAGGCGGAGCGGGCGCGAATCCTGGAGTGTCCTCATCCTGGCGGCTCCCTCGCTCGAGACGTCCTCGCACGCTGCTCCGACGTCAGAGGACGCTGCGCACGCGAGCAAGGAAACCGCCTGAGACACCCCCACAATCTGGGCGCGAATCTGGGAGCGTCCCCACCCATGGCGGCTCCCCTTTGGGAGTGCTGAAACCATTGCCACGCCTGCTATATTGCGGTGACCAGTGGCCCAAGTGAGTCTGAGTATGTGTGAATCGGAGTATGACTGAATCTGGTTGCGAGTGGGTCTGAGTGAGTCTGAGTGTGAGTGAGGTTGAGTAGGAGTGTGCCTGAGTATGGGTGAGGCTGAGTGCGAGTGAGTCTGGATGTGTGCGAGTCGAGGTATGAGTGGGTGAGTGCGCGAGGTGGCGGCTGTGAGGTGAGGGCAGGGGGGTCCGAGCAATCACAAGAACCTCATTGTAGGATATGGGGAACAACTTGGCTCCAGAGGCACGGAATTGTATACATGCCCCTGCTCTAGCCCCTCGCAGGGCTGTGGGCGTTAGGTGGGGGGGTATGGCTAACACGTCGGCCGCCGAAGAACCGCGCTTCGCGCATCGCGTCCTCCTCCAGAGCGGAGGGCGTCCTCCTCCCTGTCGCACCCGCGGCCCCCCACCCCCCGTGCACAGGAGGAGCTCGCCGAGCACGAAGCCGCCAGGCGCCTTCGGCGGCTGGCGCCGCGGGAACAGGCCTGGGCCGCCTGCGTCGTCGTCGTCGTCGTCGTCGGCATCGCCAGCTCCTCCTCCTTCTCCTCCTCCTCCTCCTCCTCCTCCTCCTCCTCCTCCTCCTGCTCGTCTCCTCGTCTGCTCCTCCTCTTCTTCCTCCTCCCTCTCCTCCCCCCCCCCGTTCTGGGCTCGTTCCGACTCCTCAGACTCGATTCGATTCGATTTCGATCGATTCCGATTCGATTCGATTTCGGATTCCGATTTGGATTTCGGTTTTTCTCAATGGTAGCCTGACTGGCCGGGCTATTTCCGCCGATTCGACTTTTCCCGACTTGGCTGCCGACTTCGGCCGATCCGATTCCTTTCGGTCGCCGATCCGACGAATCGATCCGATGCTGGGCTCTCCTGCCTCTTTGCCTCATAATCG